TTCTACTAATCTTAAATCACACTCAAAGAGTGCTGATTTTAAAACTTAGTTGCCATGGCCTTAACCAAGATACTTCTCAATCTCTCTTCTTACCTGTGACTTAGATAGCTGCTGAGTCACCAGGTTCACATCTGGTGACTCTGAAGTGGGAGCCTGACGAGATCCCCCTAGATCTGATGGTGGTGGGCCAGGTGGAAAGTAAGGCATGGTTCCTGCAGGGGTGGGGACAGGAAGGCTAGGAGGTGGAACCAATGGTTGGGGGACCGGAAGGGGTGTAACTGGGGCCTGAAGACCAGATGAAATAGTAGCTGGGAGTGGAGAGGGTCCAGTAAGTTGAGGGGCAGGTCCAGGAGGAGGAGCAGGGGGTGGTGGGGTAGGTGCTGCTGGTCCAGGGGGTGGAGCTGGAGGCTGGGCCATACGAGTCCAACGTTCTAATAAGCTCCGGTCATTGTCACTCAGCACCAGCCCAGCCAGGGGATCACCAGAGGGACCACCTCCTGCCCCAACACCCCTTTCTTTGCGTTCTCTCTCCTTCTGTCGTTTCTCTCGCTCCTTGGCTCGCTCCTGCCGCCGCCTTCTCTTCTCCTCCCTCTCCCTCTGCCGTTCTTGGGCTGTTACTGGCTTTCGTGGCTCAGGGGCCTCTAGGGGTGCACTGGGACCATCTGCATGAGAGTAGGGGAGGAAAATAAGGAGCTTGCTGTGCCCAAGGGTCTAGCTATACCCAACAACACCACCAAATTCTGTAACTGGTTCTCCCACCCCTATGATCATTTCTATTCTATCACCCATATCACCCATCTCTACCCATGCTTCCTTCTTTCACCTTTAAGCCGGTTCCTTAAGGCAGCCTTGAGAGCAGCTTTGGTATTGTCTGAGATAGCTCCTTCTTTTTTAGGTGGGGCCGGATCTCCAGTGGGTAGAGGAGGCTGAGAGGAGGTCAAGTCTATGGTGTTGGATGTAGGTCCAGGGGGAGGTAAGGCTGGAGGTGGTGACTCCATGGCACAATCTGAACCAGGTCCTCGGGGACTGGGCATCTCCACATCAGGGCAGCATTGTTCTCCAGCCACAGGCTGCAACAAGGGCTGGAAACGGATCTGCTGGCGGATTCCCTCACGTCGGGCATGAAAGTCACCAATCTCAGCCACGATGGCCTCTTTTATTCGTTCACGGGTCAGTGCTTCCCGGTCAAAGGCAAAATCAAAAGGCGGGGCACAATCTGGCTCATCATCAGGGTCATGATACTTGGCTAGGAAGGGGTGGCGCAAGGCAGCTGCAGCTGAGATCCGAGCACCAGGCTCAAAGCGCAGCATGGAGCCCAGAAGTGATAGTGCTTGCCGATCAGCACCTGGATACACTGTCTCCCAGGGCACTGGTTGGCGTGGAGGCAAACTCTGGATGTAGGCACGTACTCGCTCAGCCCCTACAGCCTGGATCACAGATGGTGAAGGAGTCCCCAACACTGTCATGATCAGCTGAAGCTGGTGGACATAGTTCTTACCTGGAAAGAGCTGTCGTCGAGCCAGCATCTCTCCAAAAATGCATCCCACAGACCATAGGTCGATGGCCTGTGTGTATTCATGCAGGGAGAGCATGAGCTCAGGGGCACGGTACCAGCGTGTGGCAACATATTCTGTCATGAAGTACTGATGCTCAGCTGGGGAAGTGCAAAGGCCCCGAGCCATGCCAAAATCACCTATTTTCAGCTCACAGTTTTCATTCACCAGCAGGTTGGAGGGTTTGAGGTCACGGTGGATCACCTGGGCTGAGTGCATATACTTAAGTCCTCTAAGCAGCTGGTACAAGAAGTAGCGTACATGCTCCAAGGTGAGTGGCTGGGAGGAGTGGATGATCTGGTGTAGGTCACTCTCCATCAAGTCCAGAACAACATAACTGAGATAGAAAGTAAAAAGACTTAGGCACAGCAGCACTTAGCTCTCCTTTCCCAACCCATCCTTCTACCTCAGGCCTTATCTCCAGGATCAGATTCCCCCAAGAGTAACTAGCTATTTTCCCAGTGGACTTGTAGGAGGATCTACAGTTTAAGTCTTCGTGGGACCATCAGGAACTTGTTCCCTTGGAAAATGCCTCATAGCCTATCATAGGAATCTGTCTTTTCCAATTGCCATTTGTTGTGTCAAAGTGTCTTGACAACCTCTATTCCATGACACTCATCTATCCATTTATAACTCAGGGACTATGATACTCATTTTAAGATACTACACTGACTCTAACTTCAAGAGGCACCCTACCAGTTCTATTCCTTACACAGATTTGAATTCCCCATAGGGCACAGTGGGCTTCAGAATGTCCTTGATGGCAATGATATTGTCATGCTTAAAGTGTTTAAGGATCTTCAGCTCCCGGAGGGTCCGCTTGGCATTGGTTACTACATCAAAAGCATTGGGGATCTTCTTGATGGCTACCTGCTGGCCTTGAGAGAGAAAAAGAAAGATCAGCTACACTGCTTTCAGTCTCATGTCTATATCTATATCTATATATGATATCTAGAGTCTGACATATCTATAAAGAGGCTAAAGTTCTCTACCAAGATATCTCCATCCAGTGGCCCAGCTTGTCTTCACTTCAGATACTCATCTTTTTCAGCTAGGTGGTACAACAGATTGAGCACTGAGCCTGGAGTCAAGAAGACCTCCTTTCAAATCCAGCCTTGAACATTTATTACCTATCACCCCGTGCAAATCACTTAACTTGGGTCTACTTCAGTTTCTTCAACTGTAAAGGAGATAACAACAACATCTACAGGGTTATTGTGAGAAACAAATGAAATGGTATCTGTAAAGTGCTTAGCACAGTGCCTGGCATAGAGCAGGCACTTAATAAATGCTTGTTTCCTTCCTTTTCCCCAATATCCTACGTTCTCACCTTTCTCAATGGTTTACAAATTGGTATAGGAGTTAGGAGGCCTGTTCTCTAGTTCCTGAGCTACTACTTACTAGATGTGATCTCCAGGCAAGTCACACATTTCTCTGGAAATCAATTTCTCATCTGGGGACAGCTATTTATATATATCAATGTATACACCATATTAGATACACACATATATATATCTGTGTATATGCACACATATGTATGTATAGATATATGTGTGTGTGTGCATATATGTATTACATATACATACACAGATATAAACGCAGCTTACTTACTTCAAAAGATATTGTGAAGAAAGCCAGGGAAAGCTCTAAGAAGTGGGAAGGGCTAAATAAGTTGACAATGAATAAATCTATCATTTCATTAGTTCATTCTACAAGCACACTATTGACAAAGCACTGAAGAAGGCATGGGGAGGGTGTACGGGAGACAGAATACAATAACAAATACAAAATAGTCCAGGGCTCTCCAGGACCTCACATTCCGAAGGCTGTAAGAGAGTGGCATGTATACTCAAATAAGTAAAATAAAAATACGAAATAAGTTCCCCAAAGCTAAGATTCTCATAGAATTGCTGGGAAATTAAATATGGAGAACTACTTCCCCTGGGGATGGATGGACAAAGGGATGGATAGATGGATGAACAGATGGCTGGGTGGGTAGGCAGACAGATGGATAGATAGTTGGATAGATGATGAATGGATGGATAGACAGCTGTATAGGTGATGGATGGGTAGATGGATAGGTGCATGGATGGACAGACCACTGGGTGGGTGGACAGATGGATGGATGGATGGATGATGGATGGATGGACAGATGGATGGATGGATGGGTAGATGGATGGACGGGTGGATGGACAGACCAATGGGTGAGTGGCTGGATTGATGGCTGGGTGGATGGACAGATGGCCGATGGGGGATGAGCAACTGGCCAAGGCGGCCACCTGTGTCACAGGTGACAGAGCTCACCTGTGAGGCGGCGCCGGGCGGAAGAGACCACCCCATAGGCTCCGGTGCCGATGGTCTCAATGATCTCGTATTCATCTCCCACCTCGAAAGTCACGTCGAAGGAGCGGGCTTTGAGCAGCGCCAGGTTCTTGGCCACCACTGAGGCCACGGGGTTGGGGGGCTCCGCCTTCCCGGGCTCAGGGCGACCCTCAGTGACCCCCTCCTCGTCCTCTTCCTCCTCCTCCTTCCGGGGCTCGGCCATGGTGGCCCGGGGTCAGGGCTAAGGAGGCAGGGAAAATAAGAAAGACGGGGCCGGGGCAGCAGCGCCCCAGGGACGGGGCCAGAACTGGGGTGGGGGACGAGCGCGAGGCGGAAGGGCGCACACACGAGGGGGGAAGATCCGCGAGCAACGGGGGCTGGGAGGGAGGGGCCGCGGTCCCGTCACATTGGGGGCCCACCCCCCTTCCCCCTGATTCCCGCGCTCTCTCCGGGGGTGTTAAATTCCTGACATCCCCAGATCCTCAGTTAAGAGGTGGACGTGGGGGGGAAGGTTTAACTGGGGTCACCCGCTCACTTACCCTCAGCAGCCGCCACCTCAGGGCCAGCTCCTTTCCCACCCCCTCTGGCCACGCCCATTACCTTACACCCAATCGAAGGCCTGTCCTCCCCAAGTCCCCACCTACTCGGTTCCCTTTATCCTATCGGAGGCCGGTAAGGGAAAAGGGAAGTGGGGCGGGGAACCTAGCTTCTGGAGCGGGCTGGAGGGATCCGCCCAAGGGGTTCAGGCAGCTTCGAATGGGCACGCGCGCCCCCCAGACTACCCACCTAAGAGACCTGCCCGGGCGGCATGGAAAACGTACCAGGAGGATGTGGCTCGAGCTCCTAATGGCCAGTCAGAGCTTGTCCCTGGAGCCAGCGAAAAGGGAAGGATGGGGAGGAGAGAAATTGAACAATGTGGTCGGGCTGTCAATCACAGTCTTGGGAACGGGGAAGCAGCTCGGAGAACGCGGCGCAAAGCTGGACTAAACCAATCACAAGCTGCTCACAGCGGTGGGTGGGCGGGGCATTAGGGGTGCTCGGTCCGTTTCCTTGGCGACTACCTAAGAAACCCCGCCTCCTGTTTCTCCTCGGTCTATCAGAACCTCTGCTTTGCGCAGCCATTCAATGAGAGTCGAAGAGCTTGGGGGCGGGGGTAATGTGAATGAAAAAGCCGGGCTGGTAGTGGAACTGGGAAGAAAGAGGAAAGGATCGAGCAGGAAGGGAGTAGGCGCGAATGGGGAAGGGAAAGGAAAGGAAGAGTGATTTGGTTTTTCCGCCTGCGCTTGCGCATGCCCTGTGAGGTTGCTGGAGTTCCCAGCAGCTGGGGTGGTTCCTGGAATGTGCTACGAGGGGAGATTTTTAGCTGGAGTGGCTTACAGTGAAGTGTCGGATTGGGATCAGGACCTAAAGGAGTTTCCCTACATCCTTCTGGAGCTGGGTTCGTCCAGGAGCGTTTCCTCCGTTTCAACCTCTCCCCTCGATACTAATTGGTAATATATATGGTAGGGGCTAGAACTGAAGTGGGAGAATATTGGTGGCTGGCCAAGTCCATCATTTTACAGATGTGGAAACTTAGGCCCCAGGAGAGCAGGCGACTTCCCCAAATCAAACAATCTCAGAGCCAGCACTGGAATCCCAGTCTGTTTTGACTCCCAGATCAATGTCATTTACACTATACCACCTTGCCCCTCTGTACTTCCCTAGTATAAATATAGTGCTGCATTAGAGTGAATGTTGGTGTCCAGCAGGTAATGGTGTATAACAGGGTTCCTGGAATGTAGATGAGGTGGAAAACCTATAAAAACAGTTCCTTTCAATCTCAAATATTTCTCCATTCCTTGAAGGTTTTAGTGGGCTCCTGCTATTTTGCATAGAGTTGCGCTAGGTGCTGGAAGGGATAGTAAATGAGAACACGAACACATTCCCGATCTTCCTTCCCAGACCAGCACAGCTTCATCCCTCACTTCTCCAAATTGAAGGTTAAAACCACAGAGGTTCTATCGTGGTGGGATCCTAGAGAGGCTTGGGTGGGAAAAATGACAACTTCCTGTTCCAGGCCATCCTTCCCCTTCTCCTCCTCTGTGTAGTGGAGGGTTCCTGTTTGCTTTGCACACCTGGGTTCTGGGTTACCCAACCTGAATTGGCAACTCAAAGCCAGGGATCTAAAGCTCAGCTCCAGGACTCCCTCTCTCCACATACCCCACTCCTCCCTTTTCCAAGCAGTTACTGTCATGCTTGCTTTCTTCCTTCTGAGCTCTAGCTCTCCTGGGTCAATGAGTGCTCCAATGTATATGGATGTGGGGGGTGGGTTCTGGGCTTGGGAGAAGGATATATGAAACAGGAACATTGAGGGAGATAGGAGAGGGGACAGTAGCTTTGGATCATCATGGGCTTCTACTCTGACTAGCTCAGAAAGAGTGCTTCAGGAGGTCTAGCCAGCATTCTTGTAACTGAAATGAGAACTTGCTAAGTTCAATGGCTTGGGGAAGGTTCAGTTTGGAGCTTCAATTCACTCCTAGTCTCCAGTGTACTATCTGCTAATTCCAACTGCTTAGATATTTTCCTAGTTTTGATACTTCAAAACATAATAATTCAGGTCTTATCTTCTAACTGATCATTCTTCCCATCCTTGCTCTGTTTACTCAATTCAGTTGTTTTCCCACCTTTATTCAGATCTTAGAGGTCCGAAACCTTGTATTCCAGTATAAAGTCTTAACCTACATTTTCTTGCAGATTGACATCCCAGAGGAAGTGAATCATAGTCCCTTGACTACAGAATTCTTTGAACAGCCTTCTGGGATCCTAAATCCTTGCTCTGATGAGTGGCAATGGGTCCCACTAGTCCCACCCCTCACTCAGCTCCTCCTGCCTACTCCACACTGGTCCTACATCTGCAATGTCTGTGGGAAAATCTTTAGCCACTGATCCAAATTAGGGGTTCACCAGTCATCTCATTCCATCAAGAAGCCCAATATCTGTCCAGAATGTGGAAAAAGTTTCCAGCAGATGTCCACTCTGGTCCAGCACACACACACACACACACAGAGGTGAAAAGCCCTACAAGTACACAGAATGCTTCAAGTCCTTCAGTGGTAGCTCTACACTCATCCAGCACCCCTAGAGGACCTACAGGGTTTTTCACCTGATTAGGTCCATACTGCTCTAAAACCTCTAGCCAACTCTCCAATCTGGTCCAACACCAACTAACTCATACAGGTGAATGGCCCTACAAATATATAGAATGTGAGAAGACCTTCAGCCTTAGCTACACATTGATCCAACACCAGATCATCCACACAAATGGGAAACCCTACAAGTGTGAGGACTGTGGGGAAGTCCTTCAACCAGACATCTAACCTGATCAACCACCAGTGTACCCATACTGGCAAGCATACCCATACGGCCCTACAAGTGTCCTGACTGTGATAAAAAGCTTTTGTGAGAGTTCTACCTTGATTCAGCACTGCAGGACCCATACACAGGCAAAACCCTACAAGTGCACTGAATGTGTCAAGAGCTTTAGTCTAAGCTCTACTCTGATCCAGCACCAGATCACTCACATTGGTGAAAGGCCTTATGAGTGTCCTAAATGTGGGAAATCATTCAACCTGAGCTCTACCCTTCTCCATCATCAGTGCATTCGTAAACCTGAGAAATCCTCCAAGCCAGGGGAATCACAGCAACTTCCTCAAGGGTCTGAGAGGTGTAGGGTTGAGGATGGTCCATCAGTTCCTAAAAGACCCAATCACTCCCTGTCTCCAAGGGGGAACCCACATCCCAATAGCCCACATAAAGAAACACATCCTCTGGGGAAATCCCATTTAGATTCCTCCATGTACCCCAATGAGGTAGAGCTGCTAGCAAAATACTACAATGGCTCCAAGTGCTTGGAGAAGCCTTACAAGTTCTCTGAGGGTTTGGAACACTCTATGAGGAGCCCAGGGAAACCCTACTCCTGTGGGGTGTGAGGCAGGGGTTTTTCTCAACTAATGGCCCATTGCCTGACTTAAAAGAGGAGATAGGCCTTTCAGGTGCTTTGTGTGTGGAAAGAGCTTCAGGACAGCTGCTCGCCTGATCCTGCGCCAGCAGAGCCACCTGGCTATCTGGCCCTACGAGTGTATGACCTGTGGGAGGAGGTTTATGCGAGCTCCCATGTGGTGCAGTACCATTGAAGCCACATGGGTGAGAAATCTTACAAGTGTGGGAACTTGTAGGAAGGCCTTTGGCCAGAGCTCCATGTTGATTGAACACCAAGGGACATGCACTGGTGAGAAGCCCTTCAAGTGCAAGGATTGTCGGCATGTCTTTTCCTATTGCTCTGCCTTTGTTCTCCACCATTTGAGAATGAAGGACAAGCAACCACAACAAAGAGAGAGTCCACACGAGTAAGACGCCATACTGCTGCCCCCCAGTGTTACAAGGCCTTCAGTCAGGGCTCAGCCCTGGTTCACCACCAGTGCATCCGGAGAGGGGAGAAACCCTATCACTGTTCTGTCTATGGGACCGCCTTTCAATTCTTACTGCAATTCACTCAATGCAAGAAGGTCCACCTTTATGAGGTAGTCCACTGCTATGGGGCTCTCATCGATCTTCTTGGGGTCCTTTCTCCTTGTGAAGAGGCACTTTTTAAGGGGCCTGGGAAATTATCTTAGGGATATGAGACATTGACTTAGAGGGCAGAGTCTCTTGGGAAAGAAAAGAACAACAGTTTCCCCAAGAATGAGATATTTGGCATATCATGCAAGTGGGAAATTCCCTTAGGCACATTTGGATTTTTCTTTCCTGCAAAGGAACTGAAAGGAAGCCGATTCTCTGGGGTAGGGGAACAGAAATATAGTGGACATTTGTTGGCAACTTTGTCCATGAAGAGAAGGTGTTGGGGTAGAGAAAAAGGCAGTTATAAGAAGGCAGGTACCCTAGAGCAGAACACTTAGGCTCATAGCTTCCTGGGTGGGGCAAAAGGATATATTCCTTGTAGGGAAGAAACAGGAATGTACAGTTAAGTAGAAAATTGAGAGCTAGCTATTGGCTCATTTAGGGGCATTTAGTGAGGAAAGGAAGAGAGCAAAAGACCCAGAGTTCTGTATCCAACTAGGTGTGTCAAGAGACAGAATGTCATAGATTCTACACAAGCCAAAATAAATACTTGTGGGTTATACATGATGACCTATCCCCAAATCTCCCTCATTTCCCCAAATTTCTCCACCTATTAAAGTCTTGTTATTATGTGTCATCTTTTCCCTAGATTGTATGATCCACTGTGATCTGATGCCCCCACTTTCTCTCTCTTCATCAGATGTGTATAACCTAAATTGGGGCATAGAGAGGAAGCTGAATAGACTGGAAGACAGTATCCCTAATAAATTATTTAAGAAGGGACCAATTTGGAAAGAAGACCCTGAAGTGTATGAGAGTTAGAAGAGGGGAAATAGTAGATGTCAAAGAATTCAGGAAAAGAGGAAGGATCACATGATTGAGGAACAGAGCAAGAGAGGTATCAGACTTTGAAATAGACTTTGAGTAGATTTTCTTGTGGGTTGAGGTTCTGAGCAGTGTTTGAAATGGACTGGGCTCAAGATTCAGCATCAGAAACAATAAATCTGAAAGAGACCCTGGAGGTTTCTTTAAGGAGATGAAGCTCAGAACTAGAATGGTGGTTGCATGATGGGGAGAGAGGAGATAACAAGTGTTGGGAAGTAGAATCAGCAAGACTTAGCAACTGTGTGGCTATAGTGGATGAGGAAGAAGGAGGAGTCAAGAGTGATTTTGAGTTTATGAGCCTGGGTAACTGAAAGGATGGTAGTGTCCCTAGAAGATATACAAGAAGTTTAGAGAGAAGACAAGTGGTTCTGTTTTGAACTCAGGACTTCAAGGAGCACATATTCATTACATAATTGATGAAGTGAAGAGCTCAGAGAGGAATTGGGGCTGGAAATAGAGACTTGGGGATTATCTATATAGATATACTTAAAGCTAAGGAAGCTAATGAGGTATCACAAAAAAATGTAGAGCCCCAGGGAACACTGAAGGAAAAAGAAATTGATATGGGGGACTTCACATTGTCATCTCAGTAAATAATAAAATAAGCACATCTGAGATAAAGAGATGTGAGGGAGGCATTATGTAGTTTTTCAGAAGAGAAGATTTGGAAAAACTGATGAGGATGGGATCTGAACTCCTAAAAAAGAAAAGACCATGTCTTTGGGATCTGGACCCCAAAAAAAGGGAAAAACCCTGGACTTTCCCACATGGCCAAATCTCTGGCATTTGCCTGCAGCTGTAATCAACTCAACTGGCCTTTCATTGTGGCTACACCCAGTTCTGTTCTGTTAACTCCTGATTGCCCCTGACCATTTCCCACCCTTAATCCTATCTAGACTCAATTCACCCTTGGCCAGATGGTCCAGGTCCCTGGCTTTCTGTTCACCCCAATTTACTAGCCACTCTCATCCAGGTCTTCTATAGACCCCTCCTCCAGTCACTCCAGACTACTTGGCCACGCCTGGATCTCTCCCACAGTCCTTTGTATATAAGAATGATCTTATCTCTATTAAGGTGCTCAGAATCTTAAAATCTGGCCTGCTTGCATTAGCCGTACAAATGCTTAGATTCCTTAAGAGTCTGGCCAATATGATGGATGTTCTAATAAACCTCGTCTTTGGCTGAAAGAAGGCTTGGGTGGAATTCTTACAGTCAGGATCCGTGTGTTGTGATTTGGGGATCCTAGCACCCCTAACTTCTAAACCTCAACAAAACCTTTGAGGAATGTGAGATAGAGTCAATCAAGGAAGAATAAAAAAAATTTTCTGCAACAGTGAAGATAGCCAATTGTAATTAGATACTATGTACTAGTAGTTGAACTAGTTAGCACAATAACATGACTTCCTTTAGTTCAGGAGAAAGAGCACAGAACTTAATTCAAATTTGAAGATTACCTGAATGTGAATGGTGGTTGGAGGAGAGAGTCAAGGATCAAGGACAGATTGTAGTTGACCCTAATTATAGGGTCAGGACTGAAGAAAGGAAAGTGAGGCCAGAGCAGAGGTGATGACCTGTTAGAATAGAGAGGGATGGAGGGAATGAAGGTCACAGTGAGTATAGAGAATAGGTTTAGGAGTGAGGCAGTGGAAGAGATGGAAGGACAGGTGATTATGATCATAAAGGGGAATTTCAAAGCATAAGATCATAGAAGTGGCATAGTTCTTGGTAATGGTGAGGTCTAATATATGACCGTTCCTGCATGGGTGGGGTAGAATAAGCTGTAAGTCATGGGACTTGAAGAGGATGATGAATTTGGAGGTCAGAGCATTAGAGGGGACATCAGTGACTATTTTGAAGTCCCCAAATATGAAGGCAGGGATTGGACTAGAAAGCCCAGGTACTGAGATAGATACTAAACTCCTTTAAAAGGGAGGGGGATCAACCTGGAATCTGGTAGATTATAGCAACAAGGATCTGGGTCAGATGATATAGATAGAATCAGTGCGAGGAAGAAAGTGATGGGGGCAGAGGGATTATCTGGAAGTGATGATGGAGAGCAACGGATACGCCTGTTTTTCCTCTTGGCCCATTTGTGATTATAGGATCATAGATTTAGAGCTAGAAGAGCTGTAGGTGATTGAGTCCAACCTCATTTTAGTGATGAGGAAAATCAGATTCAAGTTTAGTGCCTTGCCCGGAGGCTCAAATAGTATATGTTTGAAGCAGGATTCAGACCTAGAGGTTACTGACTACAAGTCCAATAATCTGTAACTTCTATGTCATGCTGACTTAAGGCTATTACATTTGAAAATTAAAGGTACACCGGGAGACAATGGGCTGAGCATGATTAATTTAATTAGTTAGGCTAGCAGTAACCAATAAATTGGGTCAATGGCCTCCCGCAATGACCAAAGACCATAAGGTAGGACTTACTAGCCTTTATATAGTTTGGGGAAATACAAGAGAAAAAAGAACAAAGTTGAGTAAGTAGGGTAAACAATATGATTAATTACACAGTAGATAGCATCATGGGGGTGGGGACATGAATGGTTGGAAATTGGGAATGAGGGGCTAGCAACAGCCCCCTTCTTCCCTCTTGTGACTAAGAAATGTTCTTTGTTTGAGTCCACCTTCGGGCTTAGAGACAGTGGACCAGACTTCTTTGGATAACAAACCAGACATCCTTGAAGAATAGCTTGGTGATGTAAAAATACTAGACCAGACTACCTAATGTCCACCTGCCTCCTTCAAGGGTAATGGATTTCTTTGTCACAAGAATAGAACAGTGATTAACAAGTGAATTGGATTTCTAAACTTAACAGCTGAATTTCTGAACTAAGTCCAGAGACAAAGAATCGTGACTTATGCAGTCATAGGACAAAATCAATTAACTATAAATAGGATCAGTAAAAAAAAAAACAACCAGAACCAATCTGATTATTTCAAACCCAAATCCTTTCTCTCCCAGTATTTCTAGGTTCTGTAGTTCTGATAATTCCACATCTGTCTTCAATGCAAGTTTACAGTCACAGGCCTAGTCCTACATCCCTCTGCCATCTGGTGGCCCATATACAATATAACACTCTTGTACTGGGTTCCACAGCATCTTCTCTCCAGTGGACCCTACTCTCTAGGGAAGTCCAGTTGCTACCCCTGCCCTCATAGACCTTTTGAATTCACAAAGTTACCTGTTCAAGGAAAGGAAACAGAAAAGAAGGGAAGTCCAATACCAGGCTCATCCTTACATAGGCTGGATATGTGCTCGTGGCCACAGGAAGACCAAGTGTTATGAAAGTACAATCTCTTCCTTACTTGACTCTAGAGATGCAGTTCAAAAACAGTTCTCTAAAGAAGGAAAAAAGAGGTGGAGAAGCAGGTCAATCTTTTTTGTACATCCACTGGATTAACAGCTCTTCTAGCTCAGCAGCCAATTAGAGAACTCTTCATAATATCAGAGATTAAGCCTGTTAGCCCTGAGTCATATATGGCCAGAAGCCATCCCCCAAATTCCCTTGTGGTCAGACAGGAGCAAGGAGGGAATATCTGTGAGTGGTCTGTAAAACCCACATTATGTTAACATTCAAGGTCCTCCAAGATCTAACTTTTATCTATTCAACATTATTTCTCACTATTCTTCAGTGTATACCTTATTGCTTATGGGATATAGAAGAGGAACAGAGAACAGCATTGTAGAGAGACCTGAATCAAATTCAGATGTTCCCAAGGACTACACACTGAGTAGAAGCATCGACCATTACCGAGGGTCTACAAAGAATGAACCCTGAGTGTGTGCGTGCACCCATGCATGTGCATGCATGCGTGTGCATGCACACACACACACACACACACACACACACACAAACAGAAATGATTCTTACCCAAGAGCTCACAAACCATCCAAAATATTTTATCCTCTACAGGAGTGCCTTTTTTAGACATCTATAACATTATCACATATATTATATATGTATCATATATATGCACATACATACATACATACACACACACACACACACACACACACATATATATATATATATATATATATATATATATATATATATATATATATATATATATATATCTCATAATACTAGAGACAGGTATGATTTTGGTTTGTTTCTCCACGTCATGTATCTGTACCTGAAACCCTTCCCATACTAAATGTTAGGCTAATCTTTCTTTGCCCTGTGTCACTCCACCACTCTGTTGCTGCTGCTGGGTTGTTACTCTCTCCAGCCTGTGTGTGACTTGGCATTGTCCCATGCTCTTGCTGCCACCAAGGATTGGAGTTTCATTTGTTTTGCTGTTTTCAGCTATTTCTCACACTGACATTGCCCTTCATTTCTCCTTCATCAGGAAAGTGCTATAGCTCTTAATGAGATAGCAGCATGCTGCTGGGCTGGTTAACAAGTTTCTTGCCTTTTTTTTTTGTTTTAATTAAATCCATGGCTCACTTGATCGACAAACAAAAAAAGCTGCAAAACTCTCCTGACTTACCAATCTCAACCAACAGTCCCATACCCCTATTTCTTCTTCACATTAAAGTGACTGAATTTCATTGATCTCTTCTTCACCTCAAGATACAGGCAGGACTTGTGTTCCACACATGTCTCCTTATTGGGCCTTTTTGAGCCTGGGAAGAATCATTCATGCCCTTTTTCATTTACCTTGTCAATTCCCATTCTCTTCCCCCAATCTCCACACCAGTACCTAAAGCCAGGCCATGCAAATTAATTTGAGCATAAATGGCTGGAAGAAAGAAGGAGCACCTTAAATAATCAATACTCTGACTTTCATATAGTTACCTATTACCCAGGATGGAAGGAAGGTTCTAGTATAGGTTTTCTGGCTTATGCTCACACACAGGCTTACCCCAAGGAATAGATCTAGATCTAGATCTAGAATAGCTCTAGATCTCCACAACAACCCTCCCCTCCCTCTTCTCCCTCTGTCCACATAGGGAATCATATCCTTACCTATGAGTGCTCTGCTCAAAGAAATATAAATTTTGATCACTGAAACCTTACAAGATAGCTTGGGTTTATGGGATAGAGTTCTTTTTTTTCTTCTTCTCTACTTATTTATTTTATTATTTTTTTTAAAACTGGGACAATTAACTCATTTGCCACATGTAGTTTCATTTAGGATTTCTTGAAATACAGCATTGGATTAATACAGCATTATCTATAGTCACGTGAAAAAATGCTCTAGATCTCTATTGATTAGAGAAATGCAAATCAAAACAACTCAGAGGCACCACATCATACCTATCAGATTGGCCAACGTGACAAAACAGGAAAATGATAAATGTTAGAGGAAGTGTGGGAAAATTGGAACACTAATGCATTGTTGGTGGAGTTGTGAAAGGATCCAACCATTTTGGAGAGCAATTTGGAACTATGCCTAAAGGGCCATAAAAATGTGCATACCCTTTGACCCAGCAAAATAGCACTTCTAGGGCTGTATCCCAAAGAGATCATAAAAATGGGGAAAGGATCCACATGTACAAAAATATTGATAGCAGCTCTTTCTATGGTGGCAAAGAATTGGAAATTGAGGGGATGCCTATCAGTTGGGGAATGGCAGAACAAGTTGTGGTACATGAATGTAATGGAATACTGTTGTGCTATAAGAAATGATAACCTGGAAAGAAAAACCTGGAAAGACTTGAATGAACTGATGCTGAGTGAAGTCAGCAGAACCAGGAGAACGTTGTACACAATAACAGCCACATTGTGCAATGACTAACTTTGATAGACTTATAAGCTCTTCTCAGCAATGCAAGGATCTAAGACATCTCCGAAAGTCTCATGATGGAAAATGCTATCCATATCCAGAGAAAGAACTACGGAGTTTGAATGCAGATTGAAGCATACTATTTGCTCTTTTTTTTTCTCTTCTGTTTTGTTTTTTCTTTCATGTGATTCTTCCTATTGGTTCTAATTCTTCTTTACAACATGACTAATATGAAAATATGTTTAATAGGAATGTATATGTACAGCCTATATCAGATTGCACACCTTCTTGGGGAGGGAGGTGGAGAAGGAGAGGGAGAAAATTTAAAACTCAAAATCTTATGTAAGTGAATATTGAAAACTAGAAATAAATTAATAATAAAACGAAAGAAAGAAAGAAATACAGCATTGCAAAAACAGGCTTTGATAAAGCCCATTGGGATTCAAATGAAGCTACTTAACCATGGCTTAAACCCAAATCACTCTAGGTCCCAACCCAAGCCTTACTTGGTTATTGTTTGGGTTTTGGTGGCTCAGAATGAATGTAAATAGCAATTGTTTCTGTTTTGGCCAGAAATTCTGAAGGTCTTCCCCCAGACTGATTGACATTTTTTTTTTAAGTGAGGCAATTGGGGTTAAGTGACTTGCCCAGAGTCACACAGCTAGGAAGTATTATGTGTCTGAGGTGAGATTTGAACTCAGGTACTCCTGAATCCAGGGCCGGTGCTCTATCCACTGTACCACCTAGCTGCCCCTGATATTTTTTTTTAAACTAGGTTAAAGAGTCCTTTTTTTCTCCCCTCATTTCTTACCTAGCCTTAATCACTGAATGGGTATTGCCTCAGACAAACTGAGACCTGGGAAAGACTTTAGCTTAAAAAGGCCAAAGTATCTTACTGCGTCCAGAGCCATCTCCAGTTGTCCTGACCTATATCTTGTCAAAGGACCCAGACTTTGCATAGCCCTGCCTTACTTAAATCTAATTCACTTGCAAGTCAAGATATCACCTTCCTAGTGTCAGTAGATCTCTTCGAGAACCAAGAACAAACAACAAAAACAACAACAAAAGGAAAAGGGTCTAAGCCCCCATGCAAGCACTCAGGCTAATGATAAACCAAATATAGGACAGCTTTAAATGCAGAAGACTCACACCAGAGCCCATTAACAGCCAAGACGACTCTCCAAAGACCTATACAATCATGCATATTTATGTTCCTTCTCTTAGATTAAGGCTGGCCTTCAAGAGGGAAAGAAAGCACTTTGGTTGCTAAAGCCAAGAAGCTCCAGTGAGTCTCACTTCTCCAGAGATTCATAGAGTACTCTAGGCTTATAGTACTATCCTTATGTGGAAGCCTCCCTGCAAAAAGAAAGTGCTCAAAGACTTGGAAATTGAGAGGATGGCCGTCAATTGGGGAATGGCTGAGCAAGTTGTGGTATGTGAATGTAATGGAATACTATTGTGCTATAAGAAATGATGAACAGGCTGACTTCAGAAAAACCTGGAAAGACTTATATGGTCTGATGCTGAGTGAAGTGAGCAGAACCAAGAGAACTTTGTATACAATAACAGCCACGTTATGCAATGACTAAGAATGTTAAACTGAACCCTTCTCAGCATTACGAGGATCTAGACATCTCCAGAGGCCTCGGGATGGAAAATGCTGTCTACATCCAAAGAAAGAACTATGGAAGTCAAATCGCTATCACTTATTTTTACCTTCTGTTGAGTTTTGTTTCATCTTTCTGATGGTTCCTCCTATTTTAATTTTTACTTACAACTTCACTAATGTGAAAATATATTTAATGGGTATGTAAATGTAAAGCCTATATCAGATTGTGCGCTGTCTTGGGGAGGGTGGTGGGGAGGAAGGGGGAGAAAAATTTTCAACTCAAAAGCAAATGGAGGGGCAGCTAGGTGGCGCAGTGGATAGAGCACCGGCCCTGAAGTCAGGAGGACCTGAGTTCAAATCTGACCTCAGACCAAACACTTGATACTTACTAGCTGTGTGACCCTGGGCAGGTCACTTAACCCCAATTGCCTAAAAATTAAAAAAAAATTTTTTAAAAAGCAAATGGAAGTGATTGTTGATAAATCAAAGTAAATTAATAAAATTAGAAAAATAAAAAAATAAAAATAAAAAAGAAGAAAGTGCTCAGCACTTATCTGCACAAGCCACGTAACTCATAGTACCAGTGAACGGTATGTTCCAGGTTTGCTTCTCCACACTGTAGTTCAATCCCTTGCTATTCTTCTACCCTGGCTCCTATTCTGTCCCCACACACCACTGTTATTCCACCACTGTCATTCTATTGCTCCCTTTCCTGAGACAAAATGTTTCCCTGGGAAAGGATGCACAGGCTTTCATTCCAGGGAACTAATCTGAATCTATGTAAAGTCCTTCCTATCTCACTCCATCTCTCTTAACTTTGGTTCTAACCATCTATCTGTCTCTGGAGACCATGTCCAAAGGCAGAGCTCAGGGTAGACTATAAGTAAATAGTTATCCTAAATGTGACGTTTAAGGGGAAAGGGAAATAAGCAGAGTTGAGACAGCTGATACTTTATTAAAGAACTAACCTTATGAAGGGAAATTAACACTGCTTTAT